CTGCTAACACATTCATTTCTGTAGTAACTCTCTGGGTTTGGGCTGTTCGCAGGCTTTTGCTGATATTTCTTATTGTGAGCTCGGAGTCCCCATATGCACAATACTATGGCCTTACCTTTGCATCTACTCTAGCAGGCTCCTACCAAAAGAGCCAGGTGGGCCATACTCTGACTTAAGAAAAGCTAGAGTCTATCATCAGAGCTGACTCTAAACTGCAGGGCATTAGAAACAGCAAACATTGGGGTAGGGCATGATTTCCAGGAACATTTAGGTTCCACTGAAGTGTGTGAGAAGGTCACAATTCACTTACAAGCATCTGAGAATGTTACGGAAACAACAGTTTCATTTCCAAGTTTGCTGGAGAATGTTGGCTGTTGCTTGTCCTAGCCCTGAAGAATTTCTCCTTTAGTTTCTACTGGAGGAAGAAGAGGTTTCCCGGGCGCTTCCTCTAACCTGTGATTTCTCTAAACACTGTATATTAGTGGTATATATCTCACCACCATATACAATCTCTATGTTGCAATTTGAAAGATGTAAAAAAGGAAAAGATGCTTGCCATCTTTGACAAACACAAATGACTGACTCTAAAGGCCATCTGTATCTGCATGCACTAAAATTTGCTGCTGTTCTTCAACGGGTGCTTTCTGCGAAACTAAGCATTGCAGTTTGATGCCTTCTCCTCCAAACAACAGGCAAATTCTTGGTGCTAATCAATATTTTTTTGCTGTATCTTTTATTTCAAAGGGTTAAGATTGCTGAAACCAGGCAGAAACTTAGTGGTCAAATTGGTTTTATGATGCTGTAGAATGGGGAAAAAAGCATTCATAGTCTAGTTATTGGAGCATAAAGATTCTATCTCTTGCTGCTTATTTGAACCTTGTATCCTCTGGGGAAAGCAACTGTAAATTATTATATAAAACTATATTATATAAGAGAGGATTTTGCCTCTATAAAAGCAGTCTCTCTCTGGTTTCTCTTGCATAGGGGAAGGAGGGTGATCAAATTTAAGTGAACATGCTCTGATGAAGGAGGAGATCAAAGATTCGGCTCTAGCAGAATCAAATTGTCAAAATAAATAAGTAATTACCTGTTTTGGTCTTGCCTTTTATAGGTGGAAGAAATAGATGCAAATAGAAGTTCTAGATTCTTTTTTTTCTCCAAAATTTTATTTTGCACAAAAACATTCAGAGATGCTAAGTCTCCCTACAATATGCATGAATACACAATCCACACATGTTCCTTTGTGGAATTCAGGCTAATGACATTAAAATAATACTGATATAAAAATAAAAACTGAGTTTAAACCAATAGCAAATCTCAAGAATTTGGCCTAAAGGACTTCTCTAAAATCACCAAAATCCAGTGGGAAAACTAGAAGTCAGCAAGGCCAAGGACTCTCTTTGGTTTTTCACTCAGTGAATTAGCTAAAAAACTACAGTGAGCAGCCCTGAAAAGCTAAAAAACAAACAAACAGCCATCAGCCCTTGTTAATTTCTCAGCCATATATAAAAAGGAGGGAGAAAAGATGGTGCTGCAACTACACCAGGGAGATGGTACCTGGGTTTGTTTTTCTAGGCTCCTCTTAGTTCTGCTACATGATTTTTAGTGTTTTTGTCCCTATTTTCTTATAATTATGAGGCCCTCACGGAGATGCTGACGCTCCTATCACCCAGTCATCCTGTTGTTCCAGGCTCAGATATCCCCTTCATGCGGGTGTCACCCCCGGTCTGTGCAGACGGGCTAATCCCTGCAGCCGCAGGAGGCTCTGGCCATCAAGGGTACATGTAGTGCTTTGCACTGAGGCTGCTGTTAAAATCCAGCCTCTGTTGAGCCCATATCAGATTTCCTTCTGATCCTTCCATATTAGCTGATTTTATGGACCTCTGGTGGGCTTTCTGTGTCGATAATTTAAATCAACATGGTTTTGTTTCTTTTTACAGTTGGTGTTTTTAGACTCTTCTTTATATATAACCATTCTTCTCCTGTGGTAAAGACCTAACTTATCCTTTGCTGGGACTCAAGGCTCAGTCATTGACTTCACAAGGGATCAGACTGCAGATCATCTGCCAAAGTTAATGCCTTTAACTCTGTGTGTGACATGGGGACAGCCAGAATTGCAGGGAACAGTAGGTGAAGGGTGTCCTTGCCCAGATAGTGGATCCATCCCTGTATGGGATTGAAACTTCTCTTTTGAAACCGTTCAATTAAATCCATGACTCTCTATTCATGATTCTCTACTGCTTAACAGATCCCAACTAAGAAAGAGACAAATCATTATTAATTTCTCTCTTTTACATGCTATAAAACACAGGCGACATTTGTGCTGCCTCCACAGTCATGTGTAAAGTCTCTTCTGAAAACAGAGGTTCCCTTTGGCTAAGAGCTGCTAGGTTGAGGTTTGGAGCTATAACACAAAGTAAAATGTAATAATCACAAAAGCTAGAAGTTTAGTTGGTCCTTAACCATTCTGATGTTGATCCAAACTTCTTAGCACCCATCTCTAACACCTCATAGCACTGTATTTCTGCTCATTTTAGTGGAATTTCAGTATGTTGTACAAGAGCAGCATGATTTAATGATGCATTTCAACCGCTGCGGTTTTTTTATGTCTTTTGTTGCTACATGGCAAGCTGCTCTTTTCCATCACGGTTCTAGCTAAACCTAAATGATAATAACAAGATATAAGCATTATACACAAATATATTACATATGTTTCAAATACGAAGTGCTTCTTTTCTGAACTTTCAGGAAACTTTTCAAGGCCGCACTGTATCTCTGACCTTAGTCCAGTTGGCATCACTATCTGCATGCATTAACAAGCATTGAGAAATGCATGGAGAAATTGTGTGTTTATGGAATGGGCAGTTGGCCCAGATACATTTTGTGTTCAGCAGAGTATAAAAGAAGGAAATAATAACGAGTAATAACGAGCTGCCTTTCTGCTGCCTCTCTGCTTCGGTTGTTGCAGGTTAAAGTTCATTTTCCTTTTGGAACTTCTACAGAGTACCTCAAGGTGATCAGAAAATGGAAAATTACTGAAAGTAAGTTCCGAGGGGAATCTCGGAAAGCCTTGTGCATCGTACTGGGCGGCGGGGTGGTGGGAGAGGAGCCCATGGGCCAAACCCGAATGCCTCGGGCGGTGGGGAGGCAGCCTGCAGCGGGGACCCGCCAAGCGCGGCCGCTCGGCTGAGGGCATCGCCCGCCCTGTGTCAGGCCCATTCCCTGCACACAGCCCAGTGG